TACCTCGGCCTCTGCCTCTTCCACGACCTCGGGCAGCACCTCTGGTTGAACGCGATACTGGGGTCCCGCTATCTTCGGCGCTCTCCTCTTCCTCCTCGTCTCCATCATCGGAATCTCCGGAGCCGCCAGAGTCACCGGCATCGCCAGAGCCGCTACCGTCACCAGAATTGCTCCCATCACCTTCCTCTTCCTCGTCGCCGTCGTCTCCATCTTCTCCGTCTTCGGCCTCATTGCGGTCATCTTGCTCTTCTTCATCCGAGTCGGACCCGTCCTCATCCCCGCCCGAGTTTTCGTCATCATCGTCGTCGTCATCTTCCGAGTTCGTCGAGTCGGCCTTTTCAGCCTTGCCAGCCTTGCCGCCCTTCTTGGGTTTCTCTGCCTTCGCTGGCTTCCCGGACTTCTTTGGTTTTTCCGGTTCTTCGACCTTCTCAGCCTTCTCGGCTTTAGCCTTGCCGGCAGCCCTCTTCTGACTCCTGGCCACCCGCGCCGATTTTGGAGGCGGCGATGCAGTGTCTGTGCCAGCATCTTCCGTATCCTCGACAGTGCTGGCGCGAGTCTTGGTCACTGTGGAAGCGCGCTTTCGCCGCCTGGTGTTTCCGCCAGCGTTGCTACCACCGGGAGAGGGCGGTGGCGGTGTAAGCTCGAATTCGGGTGGCGAGGTTGGAGGTTCGCTAGCATCGGCAAGGCGACGCTCCATCATCATATCGTCGAATTCGTCATATGGAAGGGAGAACTCCTTGAATCGGTCGTCATAGTTGTCATCTTCTTGGGCGTCGTAGAAGTCTTCTCGCTGGTCGATCGTCTTAAGGTCATACAGGGTGCGTAGCTTCGTCCAGATATGGGGGATACGTGTGTGGGTGTAGAAGTCGGGGTCAATTCCGTGATTCCGCAAGTGCTCGCTGATAGCAATCATCCTGAAGTGTTTGTGCATGCCTACGATTTGACTGTCAGATTCAATTGGGATTGCTAGTACCGATGAACTGACCCGCTGGTTTCCACCGGATAACTCCTTTGTAAAGAGATGAGAGTTGGTCGTCCGTCCACAGATTGTTTGGCCACTCATCCGCAGAAGGCTTGATCGGAGGCGCGCTCGCCACGGGAGTATCTGCAGCAGGTGTATCGACATCCATGGCGTCTTCATCGCGAGCTGGCGTTGGCGTTGCGACAGCAGACACGCTGCTGCGCACCTTCTTTTTGGGAGGCATGGCAGCGAGGGCCAGCGGCGTGGATTAACAGAGAATGCTCTTCCTGTATTCTGGCGCGTGTATATGCGGTGCTCGATGATGATATGGAGGAAGTAAGGCTGTCGTTCAAATGCTTTGGTAAATGTTGAAAAAAAGAAGCTTCTGAGTCTGAGAGCTCTAGCGGATTGAGGCATTGAGAGCTCTCGATTGGTTCCACCTGCTTTCCCGCGTCGCAGGGTAGGCACCTTTTGAGTCTTAGGCTCTTCAGCCGCCAGGAGCCGAACCTGCGGGGATGATCGGATTCGGGCAGAGACATGCAGGGGTTGTGCTCAGCAGGTTGTGCCTGAATGTGACGCGCCAGATCGCGTCGCGGGGCCCCTAGCTGCTCATTTAGCTTTATACCTAACCGTGCCTGGGAGAAACGTCATATCGAACCTGAATCCTCAGAGGTGCAATGTCACTGATTGCAGGCTTTGCGCCCCATATCCGTCTACACCAATGTCCCACGTCGCAATATCACCGTCGGCACAACCATGTTCGAGGAAGATGACCTTTCAGACGTCTTCGCGATTCCAGACTTCCGGGAGCCGTCAAAATTGCTCAAAGACCAATTGCCAAGGGCCGACACTGGCTTCTTTGCTCTTGACCTGACAGGTAGAGCCTCTCGAAATCAAGACGATCTTGATCGTTTTACTGACCTATTTCATGTTCAGCCACAGAGTTGCCTTCTTTATGCAGTCCACCCGATCCTCAGCCCAGCGAACTCTTCACACTCCCTGCCATAGACCCTGCACCGCAGCAGGAGGAGTCGAACACGAACCAGATCCCCGATTTTACGTTTGAAGAACCCGCAGCAGAGGAAGAGGCAGAAGTGGCCGACTTCTGGTTAGAGTTTGACAAGCCCGCTGCGAAGCTACCAGAGTACAAGACTTGGGAGGGCTTCCAATCTCCCGATATTCCCTCGAAAAAGCCGTTATTCATAACGGAGGCTGGGCCTGGAGCATTTGATGCCTTGATTGGGCTTCAAGAGGATCCTCTACGCATTGGAAGTTCTGACTTCAGCGTGGTGGAAGCTGAGACATATTGCAATGCGCTTCTAGCTTTGGCTCTGGGAAGAGACTCAGTGTTCTTCTCCTGGCAGGACGAGCATGAAGCCTTCAAGCCAGCCTTACCCCAGATCAGGATACCGGCATATTCTGGTAAGGCTGTCCAGGAAGTTCAGCGTTCATGTCTCAAGTGTGGCAATACATATCGACAACTTCGCAAGTTTGTCGACAGTACATATTTGAAGAACCCGACTCCATGCCGCGTTGCTCTGGCGAGCGCTGTGGACAAGGCCCTCTTGGTTATCCAAAGCAGTGTCGCTTTGCATCACCAACACCCACGGTCGATTCTCCAAGTTCAATCGCTCGTCGCGCACATATACACTACCTTGCGCCAGTTTGAGTCCTTGGTGTCAAAGATACGACGAGATCATTTGGATGAAGATGTTTTCGTCATCGTATTTCAGCAGGCTCAGTCTGCTGAGTACGCCGAGACCCATCTCAGAGATATGATGCGAGAAGTCCTCCGGCGAGTATCAAAACCCTGGATTGAGCTTGTCGAAGAGTGGATCGGCACACGGCGTGAACTTGGCGTGCCTCTGAGCAAACACGAAGTTGGAAGACAAAAGGGCTTCATCAAAGTGGAATCCGAAACCTATATGGACGATTTCGGTGACGAGGTCGACGATGTCGATTTCCGCCTTGATACTAAGCGAATACCTAGCTTTATGCCGGAAGATGTTGTCAAATCTCTATTCGAGGTTGGACGAAATCTTCGTTTCATAAGGTCAAATCATCCCGGACACCCTTTGTCACAAGAGAGCACTATATCTTCAAGTCGGCCCCCGACAGTTGAGTGGCTTTTTGATTGGAACTCGGTCGTACAGTTGGAGGATAGGATCCGATCATACGAAAGTGCGGTTCTTGAAGCCATCAAGAACTTTTCTCTGCAGGGATCAGTCGAAACAGCGGCACCAGCTTGGCTGACTGGAAACTCAGCGACCTATCAACTGCAGCTGTTTGGCCTAGACGAGAATCAGCTACAAAGCAAATTGGCCTTGTCTATTCAGGACTTCGCCAAACCGATTGCTGACTCGACGTCCGAAGACCTGCTAGGCATTATCATTAGGGATCGCTTGTCTGATGTTTCGACCGAGATCGCAAGTGCAGGCACTGATTTCACGCCGCATTGGTCACTACTTCCGATCCTCTCCTTCGGGTCCATCATATCTGCGCAATCTAGAGTCGTGGGCAGGGAAAGTCTGAAACTGCTCTTCACATCCCACAACTTACGCGAGCATCTGAAGCTTCAGAAAGAGTTCCACTTGCTAGGTAACGGATTCTTCTGCAGCCGGCTCTCCCATGCCCTATTCGACCCAGATCTCGAGACGGCGGGGAGACAGTCTGGTGTTGCTCACCAAGGCGGAGTCATGGGATTACGATTAAGCGGTAGAGACACTTGGCCACCCGCCAGTTCTGAACTACGCTTAGCCCTGATGGGAGTATTAACGGAAAGCTATGAGGGACCGCTGCACGAAGATTCAAGACCTCGAGATGGCGAAAAGAATGAACTCCCCGGGGATCTTAGCTTCGGAGTCCGGAGTCTCTCAAATGAGGAAATCGACAAATGCATGGATCCTACGGGACTAGAGGCCTTGGACTTTCTCCGGCTATCCTATAAGCCACCTGCAGCTTTAGGAGCTATTATCACCCCCGTTATTCTGGTGCAGTATGACCGAATTTTCAAACTGCTACTTCGGGTGCTGCGGATGCAATATACTGTCAATCGTATCTTCCGCGATGTCACGGCTAGGGAGTCGGGCTGGCAGGATGTCGATGACGTATCTATTCGCTTCTGCTTTGAAGCTCGTCACTTTGTGTCCAGCCTCAGTTCCTACATCTTCGATATTGGCATCGGAATGCCGTGGCAGGCATTCGAGCAACTACTGAGCCAAATTGAGGTCGATCTCAGTGCCAACGACCAGAGCACATTCTCTACCTCAGTCCTTAGCCCTGATCGCCTGAGGGAACACCACTCTCAAGTGCTTGATCGAATTATGCTAGCACTTCTTTTGCGCAAGCGGCAACAGCCTGTGCTCAAGCTTCTCGACGACATTTTCCGGGTCGTGTTGAAGTTTGCCCAATACTCGAGACTCCAAAACGAAGGGCGGAAATCTCGCGGTCAAGGTGACGCTACCGCGAAGGGCCTATACAAAATGTTTAAGCGGAATGTCGAGGTTTTCTTGGCGGTTTGCAAGGGCCTGAGTGAAAAAGGAGATTACGGAACGAAGGATACAGCTGGAGAGAAGTTGACCTCGGGAAGAGTTGACGCACTAGAGGGAAACCCCATAGCTCAGCTTGTACTGAAGCTAGACATGTCTGGCTACTATTCCAAGGCATGATCGTTTGATGAGGAACGGTTGGATTATTGATGAACAAATAAGATACCCCAGGCGTTAGATCAGTAATTAGCCACCATGTTGGAATTCCACCATTCGCTTACAGTATCTACTGAATCACCCTTTATAAATGATCCAAATAAGGGAACCGTTGCAGTGAGATCTGACGGCAAAGACTTGGGATGACAAGCGGCCCCGAAGCGGAACATGGACGGGACAAGAGGGTAGCCTGCCCCGCCAAAGTGATGCCCCGGCCCCGACCCCCATCCCTGGCAGTGCCCCGCATCGCGTATCCCACCTGCCCGCGTTTGTTGATTTACTTCCCTCCTTTGGACGAAAGAAACCGTGCACTTGAACAAAACAAACTGAGCTCTCTTATTGCGACCTTCAACCTCAACAAGCGCCGAACAAGCTAGCACCATGGCTCGTCCTGGCCCCTCCGCACGGAATCTCACTCTCACAGAAGAGTTGGAGAAGTTGGAGCAGTCTATCACCTTGACTCTCCAAGGTAAGTACACCGCATCGAAGAGAACTTGGCCTATCCATTTCCAATCGGCTGACTGTTCCCTAAGAAATCGACCACAACTTTAGCAAGGCGCACCGTATCGTAACCACGAATATTTTGCCCATTGTAGAGCAATATGGCGAGCATTCGCGAAACGTTTGGGATGCTTCGAAGGTGCGTTGAGCTTATTTCGGTGACCTTCTCATACTTTGGCACTCCAGCATCGCTAATACACAACGAACCTGCAGTTCTGGAAACAATTCTTCGAGGCCTCGGCCAACGTTTCCCTCTCCGGTTACGAAGAGAACGCCAACAATGGCAATGATGAAACCGGCGCAACTGAAGAAGAGTCGACCGTTCAAGAAGATACATCTGTCGACTATACCCGCACACCCCAACAACAGCGCACCGAAGGCGAAGACATGACCATAGTTTCGACCGCCGACTCTACTTTCCGCGCAGACGATTCCGTACTCGACGACAATGACCTCACTGGCAGCACACCCCGGCCACCTAAAACAAAGACGATGAAGCCGCAATTCTCCAACCTCGAATCGCCCTACGAGGCACTCAAGCGCGAGCTGAAAGGCGAGCCACCTGCACCGCACGAGGAGGACGACGAGAACGAGGATCTTGGGCTCGAAGAGGACTCAACCGTCCTCTTTGCTCAGCACACGGCCCGTCTTCCAGACATGTCTATGACACCACGCTCCTCGTTCGCGCCGCCGCAACAGCAACAGAGCCACAAGGACCCTCTCATGCACCGCATGCTTGATAAGACGTTCCGGATCCAGGCTACGCCGCACAAGGGTCCCACTTACCGCGTCTCGCCGCTGAAGCGCGATGACAAGAACAAGGAGAAGGAAAGCGTACCTACATGGCAGCAGGACTCGCCCATGTCCTCGCCGGTCATGGCCGTTCCCAAGCTGCGTAGTGAGGCCTTCATGTCTCCTATCAAGAGCAATGCCCGACAGCGTCTTGCTGCCGCGACTGCATCTGCGGGGCCCCGAACCCCGGGCGTGAGCGTGCAAACACCAGGTGGTGCGAGGAAGACCAAGGACGTGTTTGCCACCAAGGGCAACTACGATGACGATACGACTACGGATCTCGGTGCCAAGTTTGATAAGCAAAAGTACGAGATTGACTGGGAAAGCGATAGCGACGAGGACCATGGGCTGTATGGCGGTATGAGTCCGCCCAAGACCATCCAGTTTGCGCTTCCCCCGTCGAAACTGCTTCAGACCCCTGGTGAGTGGCCTTTTGTTCCATAAGAACAAGTTCTGCAGTGATCGATCTGCTTACTGACAAACTTTACCAGCTCGCGAGGCCAGCAAGCGCATTGTGGACGATATTCTACTTACAGCAGGCGCCGAGCCGGAGAGCTCAGAGTATAGTCCTACGATGGTCAAGATGAACGAGGACATTCTCAATGAAAGCTTTTGATTCTGTGAGAGAGTATATAAGGCTACCTTACTGATAGACAAGATACCCTGGGTAAAATTTATGGAACTCTTTCATTCTGATCCTTGGGGAGAATATTTGCTCCCATCAATCTAAGTATAAACCGGTATAACATGTGTTGCTTCGGCCATTTGCCATGTTGCAGATGTCGAAGAACCTAAGAAATATTTGAACCCAGAAAGATCCCATCCAAATGGCTACTGTTTCAGCGCGGCCGTCTAATTAGTAACAAATCAACTCCCGAAACTCCTGTAAGCCCCATCATACAAACATGGCGGCGGCACCATTTCCTTCTCCCGCCGCCGCGTTCCATTTTGGTTTTTTCTCATGCTTCCGTATATCCAATGGTCTGCTCTTGCCAAGATGACTCTTTTACAAGTCGGTGCGGATAGAGGAGGGCCAGTATGCAGCCTGCGAGTACATGATTTGCGTATTCGCGTCCTCGGCGGCCCTTTGGCGGGCAATCAGGGATGAAGACTTTTTAGATGATGATGATGACGATCTTGCCGAGCCGGCGGAGTGCTTGCTCAGTTTGCTCTTGAGGAGGGACGCGGAGCTGCCGAAGCTTGACATTGAGGCGGCGTCTGCCTCCTTTTGGTAGGGGGATGAGGAGGCGGCGGCGGAAGAAGAAGAGACCTTTGAACCCTCTTGTATCGCGGAGAGGAGGGCGTAGCTGTGGCGGCTGTCGCCGGTGATGGAACTGGAGAAGGTGGAGTGCATTCCGGACATGATTGTTTTGGCTGTTTGGGTTTGTGATGGTTTGGATGAGGGTTTAATGGTGGGTGGTATTGTTCGGATCAAGCTTTGGATTGGAATAGGTGATCTTGATATCAAGATTGGGGGAAGTGGTGTTGAATTGTCTGATTGGCTCTGAATTGCTTTGAGTTGATGAGGATGATCCGGAAAGACAAACCTGAGGATGAAGCATGGAAAGGTCTCTTACTTATACCGAGTCGATCCCATAGTTTTGCAATTCAAGACTTGAGAGTACGGTACTTTACATGACTTACACACTTTGGGACTATGGACTTGAGATGTGGGTACGCATCTTGCTAGGAACCAGGTACCATAGCCCCCCAGCTGCGCGTCTCGACACGGCGTCATCGGTAGTCGTAGTCGTAGTCGTAGATGGGAAACCCTTTGCAGCTCGGAGGTGTGGAGCAAAGGGGAAGCCGCAGAAAAGGGAGTCACGCGTGGCCGCCCGCAAGTCTGCCGGCCGGTAAAGTAAACGGTTCCCAGAGCAGCGGGTAAGCATACGCAGTAACAACACTACGAACAGAATGAACATCCGGAGCGGCACTTGCGAACAGGGGGGAACTAGAGTAGGATGAATAGACATTGTTCGGTAAGATAGAAACAGCCGTGTGAGTCATTAAGCCCATGCGTCCCTATTGCGCCTCATGCGCCTCGATGCAAGCTTGCCAGCCTCATTAGAGTCACGGATGCGAATCTTGGGACTCTGTGATACCGAAGGGTGCGTATGCTCAATTTTCCATGTAAGCCATACCGGGCGGAAGTGTAGGTTAGATCCTTGGAGGTGATCTTCTTGGGAGCCAACAGGGGGATGGGGGCCGGGGATAAGGTAAGCGCCCCGGGGTGAAGATGCGCCGGATGATGTGTACTTTCATAGAGATAGGGTTTGATGGGAGAAATGGCTTACGTCCTTTGGTAGAATTTCCGAGTAGACTATCTTACCTCCGGTATGGGTTTGCTGACAGACACGTCTGCCTGACGAGAAGCCCCATCAGCGGCAGCAAGCCTCCAGCAAACCCAGAGCACCCAGGCCTATTCTGCCTAGATTCGCGTGACATTTCTTAGGCTCCAGCTGCATGCCTACGGCAACGAAAACGTATCAAGTTTCCAAGTGTGTTTGTGAAAGATTTTGGTTGGTCCATCACGAATGCCATGTGCGGCCGTCATGGGAATGGGAGTCGGAGTAAGATGCGGCCGACTTTGGCCTTGGCGCCGTAGCCTTCCCGTGATGTTTGGCCTCCGTTTGGATTATGCCAAGAATACGGTGAGAGGAGTCGAGTCTCTCATTGTCTAGCACCCAGTCACCCAATGCTTTGCACTGCAAGTTTCTTCACTGCAAAATTTTCGTCTCTGGCACTGCGTACGTAGCCTCACTTACACGGCCTTGATTTTGGTGTACGGGGATTGCAATCTTGCATCCCGCTCATATCCGGGCTGACTCACTCCCGGTCATCTACCCCACCCGCCTTGCATTTCGGCAAACGGACTCTATACTTCTTTTTCCCTCTTTCGCTGCTCGAGGTGGTGTCGTCAGGCGTGGTGGGGCCGGGTGACGAACACTCGCCTAAACAGACCGGGGCCGGTGCCGAATTGCCCATGGGCAAGACGAAACCTTCCTTTTCTCTATTCGTCTCCAAGCCTCTCGAAACGTCTCGAAGAAGCTCGCTGATGGGTTGATGAGTCTCACCAGAACTTTTTGACTCCTGTGTTTGGAACCATTCACATCATCACACTGATCCCGAGTGGCAGAGGTGATATTGTCCGGAGCGAAGCGGACTAGAGCTGCGCTTACGCAGCGGAAGGGAGCGAGGCTCCAAATTACTATTAAAAAGTTTACTAAACGTTAGGGCCCATACGGGCTATTAACTATTAATTAAATTAAAATAGCCCTATTAATTATTAATTAGTTAGATATAAGGCTAAGATTCTCTTTTAATTATTAATTAGTACTTATACTATCCTAAGTTTAAAAATAAGGAAATTACTTAGCGAGGTAAGCTAATTAGCCTAGCTATATATAGCTTACCTTTAATATTATTAAATTATTAAATATAAGAATCTTTAAATATAAGAATTGATTATAATTACTTTATAATTATTATTATAATAGCCCTATTTAAATTAGTAATAATTATTTAATATTTATTATATAGTTAATAAATAGATAAAAATAAATCGTAGATTAGTTTAGATTCGTTATATAGTTATTTATATATACTAGACTTTTTAATACATAGAGCGGTTAATAAAGCTTTTAGAAAAGTAAATATTATTAACAATAAACTTTTTATTTTTAAATATTATATTTCCTTTATTTCTATTTTACTTCTTCTTAGCCTAAAAACTAATAAAATAATAATAATTTATTAAAATAATAACGATTTATTTTTATAAAAATAGGTATTACTTATTATTTTATTACTTTATTATAAGTAATTAGTAATAGCTTTTATAATAATTAGTACTAGTAATATAATAGTCTTAGTAAAGGCCCTTAACTATTACTAGCCTTTAATATTAAGTTTTATTAATAATATAAATAAAATTAGTTATTAACTATATTTACTAATAAAAAGAACCTTAACTTTTTAATAATATATTACTCTAAGTATTATAATAAATAGCGGGTTTTAATATATTATTATTATATTAAAATTAGGTCTTATATTAACTATTTAAATAGTTATATTAATTCCTTATGTACTTTTATAAGTATAAAGAATATTTAGAATATAAATATATATTTATAAATTATAAAAGAGGACCCGAATTAAATAATAAAATAGTAATAATATAATACTTACTAAAATCTTTTAGTTAGAACTTTTATTACCTAACTTCTCTTCCTTTAACTAAATAGTCTTTTATACCTTAACTTATTTATTAATACTAACTAGATATATCCCCTTAATTTATTAGAGTAAGTATAAAAACTAACAAAGTAGCGCTACCCTTTTACCTATTTTTTATATTTAGCTACCCTAGTAATTAAATCCTGGCTCTTATATTTCTTTTATATAAATAGAATTCTAAAATATATTATTATAAGTTAGAGTACGAGCTAAGTTAAATATTATTAAGTAATTTTATTATATTATTTAACGTAACCCTAACTAGCTTATATTATTTTTAATACTATTTTTAATAATTTAATAACAAGGCTAAACCGAATATTAAATCCGATTTATCCCTTAAAGCCCTCTTATATTTTAATTATTTTTAATATAGTTTAAATAAATTAAAATAATATTAAGTTAGTAAATAAAATATTTATTTATATTATGAGGCTAATATACTAGGACGACTTAGAATTAAAATAAAAATAATATTTAAATAGTACTTATATTATTAAAAAGATAATATTCTTTAAAATACCCGATATAGAGACTAAATATATTAAGTATTATATATATATAAACTTAATTTTAAGATAGAGGGCAAAGAGAGCTAAAAAGCCGAAATAAACCTATTTAGATCTTTAATTATTTTTAATTAGGATTATTTAGCTAGTTAGAATCGTTATTATTAGCATAGGGTAATATATATTCGCTTAGAACTAGCTCCTAGTACTATAAGTTAAGTATTTAATATTAAGAGTATCCTTTTTAAAGGCGACCTTATAATCGATACTATTTCTCTTAAAATATTATTCTATTTTAGAACTTTTATTATGCTTAATTTAGATAAGATAAAAAACTTATTACCGCTATTAATAAAGATAGTTTAATATAAAGTTAGATATTAACTTTATTTATATAAGGTATTATTATTATAATTTCGATCTAGAAGAGGTTTACTTTTTAGTAATATTAATAAATTAAATTTTAATAGTATACCTAACTATTTACTTAAGCTTATTTATATTAAAAGATCCTTATTATACAAGTCTATATTACAGTTAATATTTATTAAGTTCGTAGGGTTTAATATAAATATAAGGTATATTATTAATTTTTTTATAATATTAGTTAAGTATATAATTAGTTATTATAACTACTTTAAGATTTGGATATCGTAATTTTACGTTTTCAAAATACTAATTAGAACTTATAATTAAATTAATAATTCTAATAACGATTTATTATTTATAAATAAGCTATTTATATATAATTCGAGTATTTTATTTCTTATTACTCTAGGTATGCTAATATAGCTATTTTTATAAGTACCTAGACTAACTCTTAAATAATAGCAATATCCTTAATTAAGTACTTAACGAGATTATAGATAGTAATAAAATACTCGATTTAATAGAGGATAATAAAGAAAATATAAATTTTAATAAGGTTAGGCGCTATAGTACTTAATATTATAGTTAACGAGGCTAACTTTATACAATTTTAATAAGAGCTCTAGGGTAATAAGGATCTTATAATTTAATAAGTTTAGTATTATATTAATATACTATTTTTATATAATACTAATTGTGATTTTAATTATATAGAGCTATTATTTTTACTAGCTTTTTTATATTATTTTTTTATAATAGGCGAATTCGTTCAACTTAAAGAGTAGATTATTAATTATTTAATTTATATTTAGTATATTATAAAATAATATAACGGACGCTTTACTTAGTATTTATAGTTCTAATTTATTATATTTAATATTCTTATACATATCTAAGTTAATAACTATAGTATTTATTTTACTAGATATATTAGTTATTAAGATATAATTATAAAAGATATTTAAGCTGCTTTTATTTTTAATAAATTAAAATTTCGTATTATATTAAACTCTATCGTTTAATATATTAATATCTTTAAAGTACTCAGATATTTTAGAATAAAAAGTAACGTTAGTTAGAAGTATATATTTATATACTTAGGTACTTAGTAATATTTATAATATTTAGTACTACTAATTATTATTAGTATTATTTATAAAAGTATATATTATATTTTGGAATAGAGTAACTCTAACGACCTTAGAAAATTATATATTATTTATAATAACTTTAAGGATAATCTTTATATTATTATATAATTTTTACTTTTTTACTTATTAATTTTAACTCTTTTATAATAAGGTTATTACTAAGAAGTTTAAAATAATTAATTTCTAAGATTACTATAAATTTTAAAATCGTAATAGTACTTATAACTATAGTTTTTACTAAATTAAAAACGTAATAGCTACTAATATAATTACTAAGTTATTAAGAGTAGAGTTTATTAATACCTAGAGTGTATATATATACTATAAATTTAGAGCCTAGTTAAGTATTTAATATTTAGAATAAGGCTAATCCCTTTAACCTTATTAATAATTCGGTCCTCTAACGAACTTTAATTTCTTATTAATAGTTATTAATTATATATAGTATTATAAATATACCTTATTATATATAAAAAAATAAATTAATATTAAAGAA